GGATGGGGGAAAGAGGAGTAGTGGTGGAGGAGAAAAAGGAGAGAGGTGGAGGGGAGGGAGGGGGAGGTTAAGTGGTGGTGGAAGGAAAAAGGAGGAGGGAGGTGAGGAGGATGGTGGGGGAGGGAGGAGGTGGTGGGTGGTGGATGGGGAGGAGAGGAGGTGTGTGGGAGGAGAAAAGGAGGAGGAGGAGGAGGAGGTGGTGGGGGGATGGGAAGAGGTTAGTGTGAGGAGAGGTAGGTGGAGGAGGAAGAAGAGGAGGAGGAGGAGGAGGAGGTGGGAAGGAGGATGGTGGTGGAGAGGATATGGGGAAGAGAGGAGGGAGGAGGAGGAAGGGAGGAGGAGGAGGAGGAGGGGTGGTGGTGCTGGTGGTGGAGGATATGGGAAGAGGAGGAGGACGAGGAGAAAGAAAAGGAGGAGGAGGAGGAGGTGGTGTGCTCGTGGGTGTGGAGGATATGGAGGGAGGAGAGGAGGAGGAGAGGATGGCGAAGAGAGGAGGAGGAGAAAAGGAGGAGGAGGAGGAGGTGGTGGTGGTGGTGGTGATGGTGGAGGAGGAGAAGGCTGATGAGGTGGCTGCGATGCTGGAGGAGGCGGGCTAGGTGGATGATGATGATGATGATGATGATGGAGGAGGGAGGAGGAAGGATGGCGAGGGGGAGGAGGTAGGTTCGTGGAGGAGTAGGAGAGATTAGGAAGAGAAGGAGGAGGAAGGTGGTAGCAGAAGAGGAAGGGAAGGAGGAGGAGGAGAGAAAGGAGAGTAGAAGGAGGATAAAAGAGGAGGAGAGAGGGGAAAGTGATGGAGGAAGAAGAAGAGAAGGAGAAATAGGAAACAAGAAGAGAAGAGAGGAGTAAAGAGCTTCCTTGGAAATAGGAGAGGATAACGAAGAATAGGAGCTGGCGGAGATGGAGGAGGAGGAGAAGAAGGAAAAAAAGGAGGAGGTGGAGAAGGATGAAGAGGTGGTTGTGATGCTGGAGGAGGCGGGCTAGGTGGATGATGATGATGAGGAGGAGGAGGAGGAGGAGGGAGAGGATGGCGAGGGGGAGGAGGTGGTCGTGGAGTAGGAGAAAGATGAGGAAGAGAAGGAGGAAGTGGTGGCAGAATAGAAAGGGGAGGAGGAAGAGTAGAAGGAGGATAAGTGGAGGAGAAGGAAGAGGGAAAGTGATGGAGGAAGAGGAGATGGAGGAGGAAGAGGAAGAGAAGGGGAAAGAGGAATAGGAAGAGGAGGAGGAGTAAGGCTTTCCTTGGAAATACTCGTTCGTTCGATACATTTGTCTTTCTTTCTCTCTTTTATCCTTCCTCCTCTTCTCCATTTTCCCCTTCGCTTCTTCGAAAATCGTCTAGTTCCATGTTCAGAATCTCCGAATTCCTTGCGTCACTTCAAAAAAAAAAAAAAAAAAAAATCATCTGACGTAAATTTTTTCCTGTATCATCTCCTGGTTGTTGCATCTCTCCCTCGCTCGTTGCGAATTCATGTGCGACTTCCCGTTTTGCAAGGTTTCTGCGTGATCGACAGTAGTGCGGGGTCGAAACATCAATGAATTTTTGTGTGTTTAGATTCCTCTTGTTTCCCTTGCAGCCTCGCCTCTCTGGTGTGGCTCAGTGAGGTGTGGCGGCAGTCTTTAGGAGGTGTTGTGAGTCATGTCACTGTCTTTTTAAAAGAGATATTAGTGTTGTCTGAAGTTTTGTTAGCTCTGGATCCATTTTTTCTCTCTCTTTTGTTTTTCTCTCTTATTTTCTCTCTCAATCTCTTCATTGCCGTCTTTCTCAATCTCTCCATCTCTCTCAATCTCTCCCTCTCTCCTCTCTCTCCTTTTTTTTCTCTTTCTCTCTCAATCTCTCCCTCTCTCCTCTCTCTCTTTTTTCCTCTTTCTCTCTCTCAATCTCTTCCCCTCCCTCCCTCTCTCTCTCTCATCATTTCTTTGTTTGAAAGAACCGTTCACTCTTCTGTTCAGTGTTTTGTTCAGTTTCTGTTCTTGTTTCAATTCTTCGGAGGTCGTGGCAGCCTTTGTGAGATGTTGATTGCTCGTTATTTCCATATCGCTGACTGGATATTTTTATCCCTCTTTTTTTTGTATATACATGAATGTTATTTTGGTTTTAAATTTTGTGTTTTGTATCATCAGGTCGCCATCAAATTATTTTATTTTCGTTTTTTTTTCTGCATCTGTTGGGACGTGATTTTTTAAAAGCCTTGTTTTCTGTCTCTAATTCTTAAGAGATAAACCGCCATGGTTGCTTGGTCTCTCTCTATCATCTCTAAATGTAAGAATATTTTACACTGATAATAAGGACTCTCTCTTTTCTCTCTTCTGCGTTTCTACCCCATTTCGTCTTCCATTTCTTTACACTCTCATTTTTTAAACTTCTCTTCCTTCCCCTATTCACTTTTCACCTTTCCTCTTCCCTCCCTTCCTTCCTCCTCCTCCTACTGCCCTTCCCTCCTTCCCTCTCCCCCTCCATCATTCCTGCCCTTCCCTTCCTCCTTTCTTCCCTCCATATCTCCCTTCCATCCTTCTTTCCTCTATCTCTCCTCGCACTCTGTCTCTGTCCTCCCTTCTCTCCTCTCCCTTTCTTCCCGCCCTACCTTCCTCTTTTCCTCCCTATCTTCCTTTCTGTTCTTCCCTTCCTCCCACACTCCTTTTCTCCATTCTTCTCCCTCCTTTTCCTCACATCTTCCTTTATGTTTTCCTTCCTCCCGCCTCCATTTCTCCCCACTTCTCTCCCTCCTTTCCTCACTATCTTCCTTTCTGTTCTTCCCTTCCTCCCGCACTCCATTTTCTCCCACTTCTCTCCTCCTTCCTTCCCCTTCCTCTTTCCTGGCAATCCCCCCCCCCCTCCCCTCCCCCCCGCCCTCGCCCATCACCCGAAGTCTGATGGAATCTATCGTGAACTTGTGGTGTTGAGCGAGCGTGACGCTTGCCTTCTCTGACTACGATTCGGTTTTACGTTTTCGTCGATAGCTGGTTAAAATGGCTCGCTTTTGATCCCGTTGCTCTCGATGATTCTGCATTTAATCAAAGGCTTATTTTCTTTCTATTCTCTTTGGTTTATTTCTCTCTCTCTCTCGCCTTCTCTCTCTCAGACAGCCAATCAAAGGCTTAATTTTTCTCTTCGCAATCCCCTTTCTTAGGTCTCTCTCTCTCTTCTCTCTCTCTTCTCTCTCTCTCTCTCTCTTCTCTCTCTCTCTCTCTCTCTCTCTCTCTCTCTCTCTCTCTCTCTCTCTCTCTCTCTCTCTCTCTCTCTCTCTCTCTCTCTCTCTCTCTCTCTCTCCTCTCTCTCTCTCTCTCTCTGTTCAGCCAATCAAAGGCTATTTTCTCTATTTCGCAATCCTTCTGTCTCTCTCTCTCTCTCTCTGTCAGCCTATCAAAGGCTATTTTCCTCTCTTTCGCAATCCTTCTTGGTCTCTCCTCTCCTCTCCTCTCTCTCTCTCTCGCTCTCTCTGTCAGCCAATCAAAGGCTATTTTCCTCTCTTTCGCAATCCTTCTTGGTCTATATACTCTGGGCAGACCGTGGCTTGCTCACTGATCACGTGATTTCAGAGATGTTTGCTTCAGTGTGTTCATTTCGTTATCTCGAGCTTGGATTTCGAAGCTTCGGGTTTGCTTTCGAGAATGAGAAAGACCGGAGTGCGAATAACGGACTCGAACATCCTTTGCTCTTTAGCTATATTGCTTTAGAATCTTTAGAGTCTTCATAAAAAAAAGTAAAAGGAAATACGGCATCTCAAAGTTTTCATTAAGTCGCTATCAACGGGATATGCATACATACATGCATACACACATACATATATATACATACATACATACATATAGATATATATATATATATATATATATATATGTGTGTGTGTATGTGTGTGTGTGTGTGTGTGTGTGTGGTGTGTGTACGTGTGTGTTTGTTGTGTGTGTGTGTGTGTGTGTGGTGTGTGTGTGTGTGTGTGTGTGTGTGTGTGTGTGTGTGTGTGTGTGTGTGTTGTGTGTGTATAGATACGTGTGTGTGTGTCTATTTGTCTGTCTATCTATCTGTATATGTGTTCGTTATATATACATACATATATATACATATATATAATATACATAATATATACACACAATATATATATACATATACAAAACCGTAAATACTTCATTTTCATTCTGGCGCGAAAGGCAACGGCGAACCCCGCGCCTTCCCCTCCCGAGTCCCCTTCTCGAAGTCAGCCGCAGAATTCGTCTAGAATCTTCTCAGAGTCGGATCTTCTCGGGGTCTTACTGTCACGTGGTGTCGTTATCCTCACCGTGTGCGGAGGGGCGGCCGGTGGTAGGATGTCGGTGGAGGCAGAGGTTAGCGTCACCGTGAATTGCTTTTTCGTGTTGGTTCTTTTTTTCTTTTTTTTTTTTTTTAATTCTTCGGTAAGATTTTAATGGGTGGAGAGAGATAGGTGAGGAGAGGGAGATGGAGAGAGAGAGAGAGAGGGAGAGGGAGGAGAGAGGAGAGGAGGAGAGAGAGAGAGAGAGAGAGAGAG